GGAAAATTGTTGCGTAGCTCACTTCCGTAAGTAGTTTAAAATCTTTCCAAATTGCAGCCCAGAGGAGATAACTTCGCACTATAATTTTTGGAAATCATGAGTCGCGATATGCTCTATTCAGACTGTGAATAATCTTGTTAAAGTTTTTTTTGATTTTCCAGCTGCTGTAATTAGCGACCGACAGATTACTCTTTATGGTGATGCACTCTTTACGCGTAATTTTAATACTGCGTATATATCATGAAGAGTTCATTGCGATGAAAGTACTATATCTCATGCCAGGATTTCAAATCATGGTGGAGGGTATATTTTCTCTAGCTGTTTCGTTAACCACAAAGGCGTTACGTGAATTCTAAGACAGCGAAATAAGCACGGAATATTGGTCAGGCATTGATAAGTCCGCATGTGCTTTAGCGCAAGACAGGTTCGATGAGAAGGGAATTATGAGACCGAATGTTCAATGTAAGAACTGGGCTACAGTTCGAATTCAGTCCCAAAGAAAGCATGGGAAACGATTTCAGATACTCTTTCCAACTTCTGAATGCAGAGGGATGTTGGCAAATTGTCGCCTCTACATTCATAAATTTTACCTTCTTGTCATCCACTCATAATCCGTTGAAAATTATAACCCCATTTATTCGTTGCAAGCAGTCAATTAAAATTGCACATAAAATAATTAAATAAGAGCCGCCTTGGAGAAAGATCACCTAACCTTTCTTGTGCATAAAGCTATATTCAGTTCCGAGAAACATTCTATCATAAACGCATTATGTGTGTTCTACCTTTTCGAATCACTTCGAAAAAGCTCAATGACGTCATATAGGCTGGAATTTATTAAAGTATTGCACATAGTCTTACAATTCAGAGTTGAGGGCACCAAACAATGCAAATGTTAACATTTCGCTACGCACGCGACTGCATCATTAGGCTACAACTGATAGACAGCAGCAAGCTTTATATATAAACAATACCTCAATTTAAAGTGAACGACTGATGAACAGTAGGCCTTAACCGTGATAGTCATGACTTTGTTACAGAGTTTAATCTCAAGCGCTAATTATGCTATTGCCAACTTTGTTATCAAATTGATGACAGATTAAAGCGTCAGTCAACGAAGATGAACTTTAACTATAAATAAATGGTTATTTTTATGGTTATCATAGTATTTACGGATTGCACTGCAGACAGATGCTATTACCGACGTTTCGAATCATGCTTGGCTTGTTGTCAAGGTACAATGATAAGGAGGACAAATTAGATAAAATCAAATTGGCTGAGGTCAAATTCAGCACCATATGAGACCGACCAGGGATTGATATTGACAGCACTCTGTTAATAACCGACGGTCAAATACTGCTCAAATCCGTGCCACAGTCTATGTTTATATATCCGTTTGACTGAGTGAATGCAACATCTTTGGTCTTTCTAGAGGTAAAGTTGTTTTCAGAACAGGTTGCACTGTCTGTTATCCATGTATTTAATGCCTTTTGGACATAGTGTTGAATAACAGCAGAGTTATTTTTTCGCATTCTGCTTTGATTGCTCTGTGATCTTCCGTCCTCCTACTGCCTCAGTAATCTCTGCAGTAACATCTATGCGCGAAACAGTTCCATACGAAGCATGAAGACCGTTAAAATAGTCTTACACACAATGTTCAGTAATGAACAATGTTCAATTTTCAATGGTTATTTGGGATATTACACTGCATCTTAAACATGTGGTAAAATGTTTGCCAAAATGGTGCCCCTTGCTTACTTTCGAAAGACATTTATTGAAACAGTGTCCAAGATCGTTCCAAATTGGACATAGAATTATACTATATGTTTAACATTTTAAATGTAGAATAATGTCTGCATTAAAACGTACCATATATACTGAACCCATAAGTCGTTTTCAATGACCGTAACTACGTAATTATGATTATATTAAAATAAAGCACACTTAATTGATGTGTTGACTCTTGTTATGCAAATTGCAGAGATCCGCGGTCAGTTGAGCAGTACTCAAATTCCAAATCAGTAGAAAACTTGCAGCTTTTCAGTCTGAGACAAAATGGTCCTTTCGAGTGATCATTATGATGAATAGCAGCAATTGCACACATATATGCAAAACACGATACACGATAATTTTGTGCTGAAGAAATAGTTTCAAATAGTGCATAAGCCCAAAAATGCTTTCCCTGTAATTAATAAAAGTTTTATTGTTTTTAGGCTTATCTGCCATTTGTAAATATTTGGCTCTTTGCAATGGCCCAGTAATGAGTTTCAAAAGTGAATAATGCAATAACCGTATGCGGTTTCGAATCTGCTCCTCGTCAACCCAAATGAAACTGCATGAAGGAATATCACTCGTATAAGTGATTCATTCGCATAAGATGCAACGCTATTTAGGACCCTGCCCCAGATTCCTAGTCATCACATTTATTTACGTTGACAAAGTATAAATTAATAGTTTAAAAATTATTCACACAGATGGTGCTAATACGCAGGTGGATTGCCTCAAAATTTTTTCAGAGAGTCAATTTTGGTGGGACAACTTTAGTACAGAAAACGACAGCCACAAAATATTTTAATTCAAGACTCATATAAACTTGTGAAATGTCAATAAACTTCGACGCTTTAAACCCCGATCCTCGGAACTACCTTGCGCTTCGTTGCTCTATATTACATTGAAGCAGTAGCTCACAGATATTTAAAAGTCTCTGATTAATCAGGAGTGATAGCTGAAGTCCAGTTTTGTTAAAACCTCAGTTCTCGGCATTAACAAATGAATCTAACTGAGTGACAGTTTAGCTTAGAAAGACAAGTCCGTCCGCTGATGGCGTTCGGCTGACATTAACGCCTCTATTATAGTATGATTTTGCATGACTCCAGCGTTGACATCCACGTCGCAGAGAATGGCCAACGACCAGAGAAACCTGACACGGAAAAGGCGAAAGCGAAACATGGCAGAGAGTATTTGAGTTAATCAAGATAATCTGTCATGAAAGCCAAAATAATCAGCTAACGAGTCAGAGGTAACCACGGTCTATCAGACCTCTTATTACCAATAAAGCCAATTTCTCTAGAAGGATATTCTAATTACTAGCTCGAAAGGAAGGACTGGGAAAGGGCCGTACGTATTAGTCTCTCTATGAAATCACTGTGAATTTTCACTTTGCCTTTTACGGGCATTTGAGTGAGAGATGACGAGTAATGGGCAAAAAGAACGGAAGGTTCAGAGCATGCTTGGCCGATGCAGTCAAGAGGTGAAGAGCAAAGCAGCATCGTTCTCCTGATTTGGGTTGTCCAACCAGAAATAACGTCGTCCAAACCTGCTCATTAATCCCAAGACTAAAAATGATATTTGCTGTATTCTAGTAGTTTCCTTTTTAATTGGGCTCGAACCATGCAGTACGTTGGACGTTCATGCAATTTCTGACTCAAAATCGAGAACAGTTTTAAAAGTTCCATTTATTATTGCCTATACGTGCATATTGGTGACGTCCATCGTTTGGGCGAAAAATATTTTTGGTCAGCTAACGACTGTTCTACAGAGACGAAAAACAACTGTACTGTAGTCAAGCAGTAATTGCGCTACAAGCCATTTACGATCCTTCCCTTACGGCTCTTTAACATCTCTCACAGTTTGGCGTTACACCCGCTTGAGTAGCACGAGGAACGCCAGTCAGACAGTGTTGCAAGGCAGTAGCGATCGCAGCAACAGAGGACACGCTGCTTACGGAGTAACCAGTGGTTAATCAACACACAGACACACACATACAGGACCAGGCAGGCAAAAACGAGCTGTTTCTATTGCCTATAAATGACGTGACTTCAGATTTGCATTTATTCCGTCTTACAAAGTTATTGTCTTAGATGAGAGGGACAAATGGTTACTTTGCCAAAGAACAGGCACGGAAGACCTATTTTTAGGCTATGCAAGGTTGTTTCTCAAAAATGTGCATTTATAAACGTTGGATCAAATTTTTTCACCCATACTGATTAGATGGTAAGGCGTCTTCCAGAAGAAGTTAGTAGGAAAATAGGGTATTTGAATATTCAGACATCATTAGATTAAGCATCCCGACCATGCCGTTGAGTTTAATTGATGATGACACACGGTATTTGGTTCACATTTACAGCAGCACTAAATAATTTATTTATACATAGCGCATCTCTGTCTCGCAGAAAGCTCGTGAAACACGCGCCGAAGCGTCGGCATTGTTTAACCATCCAATTGACCAAATTGACTTAGGCCGTCATCACGCATCTGGGAATTGATATGGAATTATAATTTATAACAATGGACTGTGCAACTGAAACCTGTGCGCTGAGTAAACTCATGGAAGAGCATTGTGACAAGAGGGAAAAGTAATATTATTTTCAAACAAAAATTTCAGTAATTATGTAGGAATTTTTCGTTATGTTAATAGTTTAAAATTGGATCCGTGAATGCGAGACCGTTATAAATCTGGAGCAAGATCGGCAGTGATCTTTTATTTCAAGATAACCTGAGGCCGAAGTCAGCCTAGTGCAGTTTCTGGGGACGAGCTTACACACTACGAGGTTACTGGTCTGGTTTAGAAGAAGAGACGGATGTCTGAGTAAAAGTGTATTCATTAGGGGTCCAGAAGCAATGCAAGAACCTGGTCTCAGTTTTCTAGTCATATATGGCCGGATCTATGCAACACTCCAGGCCACAGATCCTCATTTGTTTCATTCGGTCTTCCTTCGTAAAATTTTTTTCAGAGTGGTTTAAAACAACTACTAAAGGCGGAAGGGCGTCGAAGTCCCTTTCAGAGGCGTCATTTGATCTAAGGCCGACATGACCTCAGGAGTTTAGAAAAACCTCGCCAGCGAGACTCACATTGTGCCGGGCGATGCGCCGTGA